AGGGCACCTTCTAGTATTATTACAAGGGACAAAGGAGAAGGCCAGATGGGAAGACAGCAGAGGTTGTGTGAGGAGTGGAGGCTAGACCAGGAGTCAGGGCCTGGACCTACGAGCCAGTGCTCAGATGCCCACGGTGAAACTCCTCTGGAGGGGCTGGGCACCAACGGAGAAGGCAGGTGGAAGAGCGCGGCTCTCACTGCCCCAGGGAGAACACAGTGCTGGACCATGGGGAGCCACCGAAGACTTCATACTCTGTGAGGTCCTGGAAGACAGGAGCCTGTGACCCCTCTTCACACCATACCATGCCGGCTACCACCTTCCACAAATCAGGTAAGTTTTCACTGAATAAATTAATAAACAGTAAGGATTTGGAAGTCTGAGTTTCATTAAGATTTTAGGGAAAATATGTTATATATTATATGAATAAATATTAGTACCTGGCACATGAATATGGTCTGGGTTGGAGTTTAGGAAGATGTTCTAGGAAAAAAAACAAACAATTATTAATTCACTGCTACTGAAAATAACCTTATCTAAACGATAAAAGAATTTGAGGGCCTAAATTTATTTCATCTTGTCTTAGAATACTCAAAATAACTTACATTCCAAACATACTGTAGGGAACATATAAATTCTTTGTGTCTAAGTAAAATACTACTATTTTTCCCTCTAATTCTTAAAGTTAAAAACCAGGTATAATGCATTTCCTTACTCTGAAATCAGTATTTCTACCCAAAGGCTGGTTTTTTAAACCAAAAGCTACTAAGCACATAGTCCTTGAATAGGCTTCAGAATCAACCCATCATACTTTTATACATGTATGTGCAATTTTCTGGAGAGAAGTATCCAGAATTTTCAGATTTGAAATAAAGTCATGACTCCCAAAAGAATAAAGACCACTATTTTAAGGATTATTGAAATATTCAGGCTTGAAATAAAAACAAGTATGTGTGGTGATAGACGTTTTTAAACAAAATTATCTGGAAACTCAGCGATTTCAAAATATATAGGCATTCTTTCAAAATCAAGTTAAGGAATCAATGTTTAAATATCTAATTGTCCACTAATAAATTTTGCAACTTTTGTCCTTAGTATATTATATTTTTAGTAGTTATTCAAGCAAAAATTTGAAAAGATCTATCTATATATAGTGGCTTAGAGGTTTAATTTTTCTAAGAAAATTTGGAAAAGTTTAAATTTTTATAAGTCTCAACATCTTTATTAAGTTTTCTATATAACTATGTAATAAGTGGTAATTTTATAAACATTTAAAAAGGTAACAGAAAATCTACAAAGTGAATGGAAACAAATTAGTACATATCAGAGAACTTTCCAGGACTGCTTAGACCTTCCCAGCCTGTGTTCTGATTAGCGCCCAGCCCTGCTGATGGCTCTAGAACTGAGGTCCCCAACCACTGGTAGCAGTCCTTGGCCTGTCAGGGTGGGCCGCAGAGCTCCGCCATAACCCCCACTGCCGCCCATGGAAAAACTGACTTCTGTGAAACTTGTGGGGGTGCACAGCAGGAGGTGAGTGGTGAGTGAAGCTTCATCTGTATTTATAGCTGCTCCCCATCACTTGCATGACTGCCTACACCCCGCCTCCCCACTCCCTGCCACATCCACAAAAAAACTGTCTTCTGTGAAACCAGTCCCTGGTGCCAAAAAAGTTGGGGGAACAAGGCCTTAAAAAAAAACAACGGAAAAGGCCAAAACAACAACCCGAAGGGAAGAAAAGGGGGAACCGCCCCACTTGTCGACTCTTTCTTATCGTTTGGGGGAGGAGGAAAGAAAAAAGAATGAGAAGAAATAAAAAGGAAGAAGAATCAGGACCTGTACTAGGCATCACAAGAGACCTTGCTAGCCTAACGGTAAAAAGGACAATACACGTTTTGGTGTCGCCAAAAACAAATGCAAATGTTAACGATGTTACTACTTATCACTACAGGAAAACAGGAGATGGCAAAATGACAAGCACAGGAAAGTAATAAAGGTTTAAAAATCCTATAAAGTCATTACAGTCATCTTCCCTAGCAAGCATTTTCAGTCCCTTACTGAGAGCCACTCAGAGGCCCTCCCTTGACATAGTCCCTCGACACAGACTGCTCAAGGGTGATCATAAGGTCTCTTCTGTTGATGGATGAGGACTGTAAGAGTCAGACTGGGAAAAAAAAAAAATGGATTATCTTTCATCTGAAATATTTTGCGACAGGTCTCTGCCTGGAAGGATCCTGAGTATGTCAACTTATGCTGGGTATGACCATAAGGAATCCCCTTTTGCTCTTGAAGGACCCTAAATCTGGACTTGCCCAGATGGGGACATTTCTGCACTCTGTACACCCTTCAATCTCTGGCAATTAAATCTAATGTTCATTATCTTTGAAAGGCATTTTTTTCATAGTCATTTTTAGACAGAATTTAGCTAAATGACCTTTTTGAAAAAATAGCTAAATAGAAAAGATGCTCAATTCTGAGCCCAAAAGAGAGAATTAAGACTGGCTTTATTAAGAGAGAAAATGATTGTGACATTGGTAAAAGAAAAAAAATAAGGAAACCAAAAGCTTGGAAGGGGGAATCTTTGACTTCTAGAAGCCAGTGCAGATGTTATAGCACCTTGGAGACAAGATACA